CAATTTTTTTTTTTTTTTTTTTTTTTTGTCTTTTTCCATGTCTGGCAACGGATCGCAACCCTCAGTGTCGCCCCCGTACCGGACCAGGACCGGCAACGGGATCGCAACCCTCGGTGTTGCCCCCGCGCCTCGCTCAGCCAGTGAGCGGGAACCGGTCTGTATGTGGGATCCGAACCCTTGGTGGGAGCGCCGCCGTGCTTCCCAAGCGGCGCACTAGCGCAGTGCGCCACCGGGCCGGCCCAAATTTGATGAACTATTTCAGAAAGAACTCTGATCATTTGAGGCTGATGTAGCTAGAGACATGGATGGGTCAGGTATATGAAGGCCACATGAGGGAATACATTGTGTGTGTTAAAAATAACACTTACATGAAGTATACATTATCCAAAGAAAAGTGCACAAATAAGTATATAGCTTGATGAATTTTCACAAAGTAAATATACCTGTATGTAAAGTGCCCAGATCAAAAAAACAGAACATAAGTAGCATCCCAGAAGCTTCTTTTGTGCTTTCTTCCATTTTCTGACTTCTAATACTGTAATGTACATTACATGTTTTTGACTTTATGAGGGTATTTCAAAAAGTTAATGGAAAAATGAGTTGAAAGATAATACAAATCTTTCTATCAACTTTTTGGAGACCCCTTGTATTATATAAATGGAATCATACAATGTGTGTTCTTTTCATGACTGGCCTCTTTCACTCAATTTTATGTGTATGAGATTTATCCTTGTGTGTAATTGTATCTCTTTAATTCTGTTGCTGCTTCGTGTTCTCCTTGTATGAATATATACTAAAATTTATGTATCCATTCTCTTATTGCTTGATATTTGGATTGTTTCTGTTTGGGGTTATTGTGAATAATGCTGTTATAAACATTCTTATATGTGTCTCCTGGTTCATGTATTAAGGGTTTCTGTCTAGGGGTATATACCTCGGGGTGGAATTGCTGTTATGGGTTATGTACATCTTCAGCTTTACCAGATAATGCCAAGCTATTTTCTAAAGTAGTTGTTCCGGTTTGTCAGCTCACCAGCCTGTTGAAGGATCGTGAACAACGAATGATCAGATTTATGTTTTTAAAAGATCACTCTGGTGGTTATGTAGGGCAGAGTAAGAAGAGATGTAGGGCAACATGATAGGAAACTGTTCTCTGTAAATTTTAAAAAAGACTAAAAGGCTAGCTTTCATTGGTGACAAAAATAATCCTTAACTATCTCCAATATCATAATTGCTGAGATGGTTTCTGTATTATTACCAACAAATGTGTTTTGACATTGATAAGCAACCGACTTCTGTCCCTTATATTTGCCATAGTCAGGATTTGCAAACAAGGCTTGTACGTTTTCTTTGAAAAAATTCATAGAAATTTCATGAGTCTCCATTAAAGCCAGTTTTACAACAAGGGCTTACACAATGTAACACATCCTGTTCAGACCTTAGATGATAGTAGATTTTATAGTAAGTAGTACATTGTAATAATTCATTTGGGTTTGTATGAGTAATTGGGATTGTATAAGTTGTGTTATAATCAAAGAACCTCATAAAGGTATAACTAAAGGTAACTTTTCAAACCCAAATGTTAAGAATTAACTTCTTAGATTTGTGATATATGTCAATATTTGATTATTTATAGTGGTTACTTATGGAAATGACTGAAATTATAGCATGTTTAAATTTGTTTAGGGTTTTTGGAGTCTTTTTTTGTGGTTAAAAACATAACATGATATCTACCCTCTTAACAAATTTTTTAAAGGTGTGTAGTATTGTTAACTATATGCATATTGCTATATGTAATTTGTTTGTGATGCAGAATTTGATATAAGTTCTTATCACTTCCTGTGAACTCACAGATTTACAGTTTGTTTAACTGTAGGTCATAGGTAATTAAATTTGAATTACAAAATGTAGTGACTGACAAAACATGATAATTATGAGCATTTTTATTTTATTTCAGAGTTTTCTTGGAGGCTTTTTTGGTCCGATTTGTGAGATTGATATTGTCCTTAATGATGGGGAAACAAGGAAAATGGCAGAGATGAAAACTGAAGATGGCAAAGTAGAAAAACACTATCTTTTCTATGACGGAGAATCTGTTTCAGGAAAGGTAAATCTTCTGTTTGGCAGAATTACCTAGTTGTAGGATATTAGAATTAATCATCAAAGTGGTTGTCTTTGCTGTTTCTAAATTTGAATGATTTTATTAGAAATGGAAATTTTTTTTTTCTGATGGTCAGCTGAAGTACTTGATTGATTAGAACATTTACAGTATAGATTTTTACCCTGGAAAGGCTTCAGGCACAGTCTCTAAATTTCCTGCAGAATTTTTTTGTGACTATGTGCATCTGTCTAGCTTCAGATGGTTTTTCCAGAACTGGGCTGTGATCCACCCAAGGTTTGTTTCTCCTTTAACAAGTTGAGTTCCAGAGATTGGGAGTAATTCTCTGTTACAGCTTTTTAAAGATTTCTTTCTTATTCTTCATAGCTTACCTCTCTGTACTACTGCCATTGTGTATGTTGGTCTCATTTCTTGGTGCTCTATAGAGGACCTAAGTACTTTTGGAATGTGTCTATGCATGGTCAGATACATTTATAAGGTTCCACTTTTTTTCCCTTTTGATTATCCATTGAAATATAAAATTATTGCTAAACCTTAGGGAATATAATCAATACTTGTTAGTCTGTACTGGGGAATGGTGATATCATAGACAAAAGCAAGCCACAAAACATGTGATACAATTTTTATAACATAAGATATTAAGATTTTTCTTCCCTGCTTGTTAAAGTGATATGTGGTTAGACAGTTTGGGAAATAAAATATGTATAATCCCATCAAATGGAAATAATTCACTGTTAAAATTTGGGTGTGTTTCCTTCTAATATCTCTGCATTAGTTAATGTTTACATATGTGCCATATATTAAGCATACCTTCTACCTATTGTTGGATATTTAAGTAGTTTCTATTTTTCAGACAGTTTTTAGTGTATATCATCATATACTTGGTAATACAGACATCTGTATGTATAAGTTTTTTATCCAAATTTCTGTAGAATAAGGTTATTTCTTTAGAATAGATTCCTGGAGTGCGTTGCTGGGCCAAAAGACATGAATATTTGGAGGGTCTTAATGTGTATTGATCTTGAAAATGTATTTGCATTAAATTACATAGTGTTTTATTTCACCCAAGGCAGCAATGAATATGATCACTTGTAATCTTTGCTATTTGGATAGAAAAAAATGATCTTATTTTAATTTTCATTTCTTTTGTTACTAGATATGTTGAACTTAGTTTTACTTGCCATTTGAGGTTACTTTTTTACTGTATTGTTTATTCTGATCTTTTGCCATATTACCTATTGGTGTCTTAGTGTTGTATCTGAAGTGAATTTTTTGGCTTTCAACTTTACTTCCCTGGTACTCTACCTTTAAAAAAGATGGACAGAAAGAGAGGTCTAAAGGAGAGCAGACAAAATCGTCGAAAGGATGGAACATGTCAAATGAAAGAAGAGTAAAAGTAATGATTGGTCTAATGGAGTGAGGGGTAGGTGGGTAGGAATACCAGTCTAGTCTTCTTACTAGGGAGAGAGTGAACCTGCTAATATTTAAGATATTTCATTTATAGATATGACAAGTAAGTAAATATCTCTCTTGCTAAGTTGTAAGCTCTTTAAAATCAGGGGGTCAGAGTGTGCTTTGTATTCTTCATAAAATACATAGTGTTGATTATATAATAGGTTTTCACTAATTATTTGATTTATTCTGTTTTTAAGTCTAGTAGGGAACATTACATGTCTTATTTAAAGTAATCTCATGTCATCTGGGTCAATTGAATGTTCATGTCTGATGTTTACGGAATTAAGGAAGAGGAGAATGTTTAAGGTAAAAATAAAGCTACTTCAGTGTGTTTTTTTAAAAAAAATAGCTGGTATTCAAATTACATTTTAGATTTGCTAGAAATCACATGTAGACCTAATTCATAACTGTAGAGCATTTAAAAAAATGATAAAATCTGTCATAGGTAAATATTTTCTGTTGTTTAAAAGATATTGATCTCAAATCTGACTGTTCATTGGCCTGAGATTTTATTTTTAACCTTTTTATTGAAAAATAAAACATATGTAGAAAACCACACAAAGTAAATTATTGTAAGGCATATTTTCTTGTAATCACCATTCAAGTCAAGAAGTAGAACTTTGCCAGCCATCCTGTATGTCCTGTCCCAAATGCAACTCCCTCCCCTCAAAAGTAACCAGTCTGCTGACTTGTGTAGTAGTTAACTTTCTTGTGTTTCTTGTTTAGTCTTGCTCATTAAAGAAAAATTAAAAAAAAAAATTTTTTTAGCTTTAGGTTCCCTCTTCATGCCTTTCTTTTCCTTATAATTTATCTGTTGAAGAACCTTATGGTTATGGCAGCTGCATCTAGAGGCTTGATCAGACTCAAATTCAGTTCTTTTGGCAAGAGTATAGGTAGTGGTATGTTTTTTCATTAGGGGTACTTGATGTCTGGTTTTCTTTCTCTTTTTCATTTTTGCAACTGTTGATGCTCAATACCAAGATTGATTTAATTTACTGGGGGTTGCAAAATGGTGGTATTTTTAATTCTGCTTTTTTTTTTTTTTTTTTTTTACTTACTAGATGGAATACATACACAAAGAGATGTTATTCATCTATTGTTTTGTTACCTAGTGGCACAGTTCATATAGAAAAGAAGGAATAAATGCTTGATTCTCCCCCTTCCCCTTTTTGCCTGTTTTTTAAAATAATAAATTGGTTCCTTATCCTCCTCCAGAGGCCAACCATTAATTTTATTTTTCAATAACATTGTGAACTCGTGATTATAAACGTACTTGATGTTTATAAATATTACCCTATTGAAGTTCCAGTTGTATTAATTTTCAATCCTGTGTAACAAGGTACCACAAATTTAACATCCTAAAATAAAACAAATTTATTACCTTACAGTTTTTGTGGGTTAGGAGTCCAGGTGTGAGTTAGCTGTGTCCTCTTCAGGGACTTACCAGGCTGAAATCAAGCTCAGGTTTCAGTCTCCTCCGAAGTTCTGGGTCCTCTTCCAGGCTCACTGGTTTTTGGCAGAAATCATTTGCTCTTGTATTCCTTCTAATTCAGCCTTCATTTTAATGATTTTTTCTGTTATTTCTAATTTCCTGATTTTTCTCACTTTTTTCTAAGATTTTCTTTCTTTTTTTTTTTTCCTTTTTGTCTTTTTTACTGATCGGTAATGGGATCGCACCCCTCGGTGTAGCGCCCGCACCGCGCTCAGCCAGTGAGCGGGAACCGGTCTCCACATGGGATCGGAACCCTCAGCGGGAGTGCCACCGCACTCCCAAGCGGCGCACTCTCCAGTGCGCCACCGGGCCGGCCCTAAGATTTTCTTTCTTAATATCTTTTAATCTGTTTTGAAATAAGTTATAATTTTGATTTGTTTTGTCTATAGAGATGATAATATGTTCCTTCTCTTTTCTTATTAAAAGAAAAAAATGGAATTTGACCTTGCTATTTAAATTGCTCATTAAAAAAAAAAAAAAAAAAAAAAAAAAAAAAAAAATATATATATATATATATATATATATGTGTATGTATGTATGTATACACACACACACACACACATATGCATATATATATATTTACTGTATTAGAAATGAAGACTGAAAATTTTAAAATGCATAGAAAAGAATCTAGATGAATATATATTTAAAAATTAAGCGATTATCTCTAGGGAATGGTGACTGTCCACCATCTTTTATGCCCATATTTCTAGTTGCTATCTGAAACAAGGATTAGTTGTTTTAAAAGATGATCCTGTGATAAATAAAATGAGGATAACTAAGGAAAATGAAAATGTGGTCTGGATTTATAAGAGTAACCTCAAAAGATTAACTTGAGAATGAGCTTGAGGTTTTTAAAGCTAAGGAAAACATTTTAAACATTATATTTGGAATAAGAAGATGAATAAGGAAAGAATATGCTCATTTGGTACATCACTTATTTTAATATAGCAAATGCAAAAGAAAGACCTCAATTTTGCTTTTTTCCCCCCATTAAAAAAAAGCTTTAAATTGGGAAAGGTAGAATTACTAAAAGAGAATGAAAGCTCATTATGGTTAAGGAGTTTTTGAAAACATTCTGGTAACCAGACAAGATGAATACTATGCTATAGTACTAAAAGAATTTGTAGAACTGGTTGCACAATCTATGCCAGGAATCCTTTAGTAATCTTGGAAAATGGGAGCAATTCTAGAATATAGGAAAAGGCCCTATTTTCAAAATAGGGCAAAAAGTTTGTTTCAAGTATACTTAATATTGATTCCTGGCATACCTCTAGAACAGGTTATTAGGTAGATGATTTATGAGCACTTTGAAAAGAAAGCTTGAAAAAGAGGAAGAAAACAAACATTGGTTATCTATGACCTAGCATATGTCACTAATAATAAATTTTGCCATACCAGTCTAGGGTTTCTGAGATGTCCTAGTAAAATAAGAAGACCACTGAGCTGGAGTTGGAAGATCTAGCTTTGAGTTTACTACTGTCTTGGTAGGGAACTCTGGGCAGTCATTTAACTTCCCGGATCTCACCTGTAAATTGAGGAGGTTAGGCTGGATCATTGGTTTCTAAACCTGGCTTTGCATTGTAGGATTCTGTGCATGAAAATCCTTCATATATTAGATATTATCTTGGATCTTGGATCTTGGAGATCCGATGTCCCACCTAAAGAAAGAATAAATTCTTTTTACAATATTCTTGTCATGTAAGCTTCTGTATGCATGCTTTTCAGAGTTTGGAGATTCTGCTTTCTTGGTAACACTATCCAGTATGCTTTTTTTTTTTTTTTTTTTTGTCTTTTTTCGTGTCTGGCAACGGATTGCAACCCTCAGTGTCGCGCCCAGACCGGACCGGTATTTTTTTTTTTTTTTGTCTTTTTTCGTGTCTGGCAACGGATCGCAACCCTCAGTGTCGCGCCCAGACCGGACCGGTACTGGCAACAGGATCGCAACCCTCGGTGTCGCGCCCGCACCTCGCTCAGCCAGTGAGCGGGAACCGGTCTGTATGTGGGATCCGAACCCTCGACGGGAGCGCCACCGCACTCC